TGCTCTCCTCATCTCGCTTGCGCGGCGGACCAGCGTGACGGTTGGGGTCGGTTCTACGGCAAACGTTTTGGATGATGTGCTTTCATTTACGCAGCATGTCATCAACTGGCACATTAACGCGCCCATTTTCATCCGAGATCGCAGTGTGTAATTGCGTTTTATAGCACCGTTGAAGCTCTCGACGGGATTGTTCGTCGTTGTTAACGCGGATGGCGGGTGAAATATCTGCCATCGGCAGACACAGCTTGAAAGCCAAACTTTAGTGAAGTACGTTTTGAAGGAAGCAGGCCCTGGATGTAAGGACCAATTGTCCAGCACGCGCGCTTGGGTGATGATGAACTCAGCTTCGGTTGTTGCATAGTGTAAGCCATTGAGGTCGTTTGCCACGGCAGCGTAGAGTGCAGGTTGAAGCCCCTTTGGCTTCTCGTAGACCTTGGCGGCAACGTGGTAGAAACACATTAGAATAGTCAGATTGCTATCAACACCCAGTACTCGTTGCACCGCGTTGTACTGAGCGTCGTCCGCGTCCCCCATCGCGTATCAGACCACCAACTACTTTCCGGTGACGCATGTGTACACTTTTTGAAGCGCCAGTAGCGCGTCCATGAAGTGCATCTCTTTTCGTTGCGAATAAATAAATATCACAAGAAGGTGAAACCCTCTAGCCTGATCGGAGATGCCCACGACAAATACGAGGTAGTCGACTTGAGCTAACATAAATGTTGCATCAATGTGCAACACAAAAGTTGCTGGTTCACGGTCCGCCTTACGGAGTAGCGCTTTCGTCGTGACTCCGAAGAGAAAAGGGTCCACATCGGAACCTTTGCCTAGATAAGGTCTCCCTTTCGTGTCGCTCCTTCACGTAAAGATGAAAGCATCGAACTCTTGTTCGTGACCCGTAAAAGCCGATTCGCGTACCATATTGCGCAGGTCATACGGGTAGTCATTCCCGCCCAGACGTCTCTAAGAGAAGGACAGCGTCCTCCTCTATAAGAGCGATGACGTGCTCAGACCAGGAAAGAGCAGGGGACATTGTTAGCGTTTTGGGGCGAAAAGTGTGCGGTTCTAACGGAGGACGAGGTTTTTGTGTGAGCTCTTTAAGAGATCGAATGCTAATGTATGGGTTGTAAACGTGTAGCTACCACCGATTAAATTTTGAGTGATTAAAGTGATACTGTGAGTGATTATCGGTTTTAAAAGGCGCTATAAGGTTTATGCGTATGATATTAGGTAGGTGTTGAATGCTGGTAGTCTGAGCGCTGCAGAGAAACTATGAGTGTCTGGGAAGGATTCCCAGTGAAAGCTAGCTATGATTGGTGGAGAACCTCGCCAGAAGGTTTGATTTGAATACCTGTAGTTTCAGCTTTACGTTTTTGCACGGTTTTGACCCTCACTGTTGACGGATGTTAATTGACTGATGATAAGTTATCACTAATAACCAGGGCTTAGTAGTACCAAAAAGGTAGTAGTATTTCCGCTACTATTGGGCCTTCGTCGAGAGAGAAATACTGAAACTAGAATCGATTTAGCAAGGCGGTAGTAATATTAGTACTATTGGTTTAATACTCAGATTGCTCCTTTTGTCTCATTCGCGTTTCAACGCGGCCGCTTTGCATGTGTTGTGCTTAAATCTTACGAGCTCAACCCTGTTGTGCCACAGCAGAAGGTGCCTATCCGCTCGTCTACTGTCTGTACTGGTTCTCAGGGGCCCCATGACTATCCCTCCCGTCGAAAATACCCGCTCTTGGAACGCTGACGAAGCGATTTTGCCAAGATGTATGCAGGCGAGAAAAGCGATCGAGGGAACTGCAGCTCGCCTTCGTCACGGAACCACTTCAAGACGTCAATGTGCCTGAACAAATCCAGTAGCGCTCAGCACGAGCCGTTTGCGAGTAAATCGACATCTACTTCGACAACCCCTCCTTCGTGATGTCAGGATTCTGGTGCTGCACGATCTTCAGCCATTCCGGTTCCAAATCCAGCCATTCTATAATCACGGCATCGGCTCGTGCGTTGATCTCAGTCTCCTTCACCTCTTCTCTTGTATTTGTGGCCCGGATAGGTGCCCCCAGTAGAAGTTCATCTTCGTTGTCCCAGCCCGCTGAAACTGGTGATGAAAACGGCGATGCTGAATCCTGACTAAGTAAGCTACTTTGCGACGACTGTTGAGGTAAAGAGATCTTCTCCTCTTTGACCATTCGAGCAAATACCGTTCGATGATCTGCGCGCAGGAATTCAATTTTGTTCTTGTATTTGGCCTTCTCCTCCTTGCGAGGAATATTTCCTACAGCAGCATTTTTTGGCGCTAGACTTGATTCGAGGGTCAAGTAAATTGCAGCCCATAACCTCCTTTGTCACCTTAAAGAAGCGCGCCTGCAACTGAAGTAACGGTCTTCTGAGGCATGTCTTGCCATCATCAGAAACTTGATCTAGTGTCCTCGCAACGCGACGGTGGCTGGATTCATTTGCATCTGTAGCTTTTGGAGCCTCTACAGCCATTACCTCGAATTTGAAGAACTTGTGTTTGTTCTCGGCAAGTCGCCAGAACACGACCATGTAAGACGATACTAGGTTTTCACTCTGAGCTTCCACCAGCGCAAGATTGGCTATACAGTGACTAACCGCCTCCATTTCAACTGCGAGCATCCAGTCCTGTGCACTCAGGGCTGTCCGCACGCTGCTTGAGTCTTTGATCGAGTAAAAGTAAGCTTCAAATGCCGAGTAGTTGACTATTGATCTCCGAATCAGTTTGCAAGTGTAGGCAGCTCGGACATCCAGGTTCAAGTTCAGGAAGTAAAAGGGCCGCTTGGATGCTCTTCAGTGCCTCACGCTATTTAGGCGATCTGAAATGATTGTTCAGATTACGGAGTTGTTTTAATCACGTTGCCACCCTCGTCTAGAGCTACCCCCGGAGTTACCGTCGTTACTACTTTATCCCACGAGCTCGTCGAATCATTCCACATAGCTACCGCCTGATTATTATCCTTAAGCCCAATGGCATAGCCAATACACAGGTTGAGCGGATGCATGGAACAGCTCTTCTGTTCCGTATCAATATAGTCTGCCACATTTTTTGCAGAAAAAGTAGTATCTAACATTGTGAATCAAGTCATACTGCGAAGGTCGATGTTGTACCTTGTTTTGAGAGCGCTTTCAATAACGTTTGCGACGCCAGCAGCGGCGTGGCCGTCATTCTTAACACGGGCGAGAACTGCAATGAACCGAAATCTCCCTGAACTGTCGATGAAAGCGACAGATGCACCAACGATGTTCGCCTTCCCCACAGCTGGTCCAAATGTTGTGCAACAAATTGAGAAACTTCAGCCGACGTGCATTCTCAAACTCAGTAGACAGTAATGTCCCCACCAAGTCACAAAATAACTGGAATTGCCCGATGATAAGTCGATCATGTTTGTCTCGATCCAATACTCGGAAGGAGGATGACGTCTTTGAAAGTCTCAGACGCGCAGATTGTGCATGGTAAATACTTTCAAAGTAGGAACTTGGAAATCAAGACGTTCACTGTCTTCTCGTCCGCGCAGAAGAACCTTTTAATAGGGGGGGGTTACAACGTCACCATCTTCAGTAGAAGCACTACCTGTCGCAGCCTGAGTAGTAGCAGCACTCTCCGGATCTCGTGTCAGGTCCAATACGGCCTAGGCATCAGCCTCTGCGGCCTCGACGTCCGTCTTCGATCTTTCAGTAGCTCTCGTCTCCGCCAGAATTGCCAATGGGTGATCAGCATGCTTCGATTTGATTTGATCCTTCGCGTTGCTTGTGTTCTTAGTATTTCGAAGGGCATCCTCCCAACTGTATTTGTTCGTCTTGGTTCGAGCTTTGATTTGTAGGCAGCACAGCACAAAAATATTCCGATACAGGCCTCTCGACAGCTTCCTAAGGTTCTGCTTCTTGTATGGAGTATTCAGTGTATGAATCAGATCCCAAACATCATCCAATGCACCTTCCTTTCGTACATGGGTAACAGAGAGTGGCACGCCAAGCTCCGACACTGGAGGTGCAAGCTGCGACGAGAGAGGCACCCCCCGACGCTTCTTTCCGGACTTCACTGGAGCGACCTTCATCTTTCCACTCAAAGTAGTCGTGATAGCAGCAGTATTTGTAGCTTTCCGTCGCTTTCCTGCGCGATGAACCGCTGTATCATCGGGTATTTCCGGCGAGGATACGAAGCCAGAGTCTAACCCAACCCAAATGTTGGTGGGCTGGACAGATGAACCCATTCGCCTCGCAGTGGACGATTTGGGAGGGGCATTTGTAGCCACGGTTGTACGCACGACTTGCACGCAGGATTTACTACAGAAGCTGTATTGGAAGTAAATTCGTGCTCATTAGCGTGCCGTGACAATAAATAAGGCACAGCTACCTCTCATTCAGCGCGGAGTCAGCCCCTTCATAAAACCAATAGCGCACATGTGATGGACGAGTTTTCCGCACACAGTACACGGCTCCGTCCTTAGCTCGTCACCTTCCTGGCAGCCCGCTACCACGCACCCCATTTTCCGTTGTCCGATAGCTCGCGTTCACGTGTGCTGGTGAAACAAATTGCGAGTGGTGCAGGGAAGCCACACGATTTTAAATTGCTAGATCTGGGTACCTGAAAATAGTACTCTAAGGCTAATATCGTACTGCGTGGAGAGAGTATTACTAATATCCATAGTACCGTACACCGCCGTAATAATAGTAATACTACCGAAAAAAGTGGTAGTAGTATTACCCAAGCTTACTACTTTTGAATATACTACCAACCCCTGCCCCAAACTTTGGCTATAAGCTGACAATCACGTACAGAAATGTAAGAGAAAAGGAAGTTTAAGTGCTAGGATTAAAAGAGTACGTTCTATCAGTAAGAAGTTTTGCATTTAGAGGCCGTACTTAACAAACAGATTGCTCAAGCCGTAAGAGGCGATAGCCCCTTTAATGGCGACGACGTCGGCGCTTGGCCTTCTTCTTCAGCTGTGTTGCCTTGGCGTCCCGAGGGTGTTTTAACTTCCGTTCGAGTAGCTTGGCCACTCTTTTACGACCAGCTTTCAAGGCGATTTCGGCAGCGTCCCGAATGATGGAAGCCCCTCGGCGTTCGTCACACACAATCCAGTACAGCCATTCAACGACCGTTGCGTGTCCATGTTCAGCGGCGCACCGTAAGGCAGCCCCCACATGACTGTCACCGCGATTCACATACAGCCACTGCACCATTTCGAGATGGCCACTTGCTGCTGCCTGGCACATAGCATCCCCCGTTGAGCCCTCCCGGCGATTCTCAAGAAGAAAACGCACGACTGCAAGATGTCCTTTGGCTGCGGCATTGCTTACAGCTGACTTATCACACCCCTCGCCACGATGTTCATGAAGCCACTCGACCACTGCAAGGTGCCCATTAGCTGCAGCATCATTCATGGCCTGCTTGGTGCAGCCTTCGCCTCGATTCAGATGAAGCCACTTAACAATCTCGAGGTTCCCCACTGCGGCCGCATTGTCCATAGCTTCCGTGGTGCACCCTTCGCTACGGTTTACATGGAGCCATTGCAAGATCGAGAGATGACCTAGCTCTGCAGCGATATCCATGAGCGAACCACCCTCCGCTGTCATCCATGAGGTGCGTTCAGAAAAACACTCGCCGATCCACTGTAGGACGTGAATATAGTCGTGAATGGTAGCGTGCTCTGCAATGTCGTCGCCGTTATCCCAGTTGGGATATCGCGCACCGAGATACTCCAATGCCCACCTCGGAAGTCCCAATCTACAAGCTTTCCGAACTTTGTAGCGAGAGGAAAGGGTATCTAGATAACCATCAACACGTCTCTCGATCGGAACTCGAGATTCTAGCTCACATGAGGGCAAACACTCGCGGCAAACAGCCAACACCGATGTCAACACGGGGTAGACTTCCATTCCTCGCTGAAAAAGTTTTCAACTGAAAGATCCCATTAAAAAGCGTGTCTGATGTGAAAGGACTACTCCAAGATGATTGACGATAATTGCTCGATGACTTGCATTGTCTATCCAGCTTCAGCTTGTGCTCAAGTAGCTCTGCCACGTCACTTCCGTCGCAGCACCCTTCCTTGCAATTAGTATGAAGCCACTTGAGAATTGCAAAATGACCACGTCTTGCCGCTGTGTTAATGAAGCAGCGAGCTTGTAGACTACCCCACGACGTGCGATCAGGATAGCGCTCGCTCAGCCATTGCAGCACGTGAGGGTAGTTGTTCTTCACTGCGACGTAGGCAGCATCACGGCCATCTCCCCAGTTTGGATCTCGTGCAGCAAGATACTCAAGACCTCGTCGCGAGAGTCCGGCGTCGCAGGCCCTAGCCACGTTCCAGTGATACGAGAACGTGTTTAAGTACTCGTCGAGGCGGGTTACCACATGGGACAGAGACTCCACGCCGTGCTCGCCCAGACACCCACGATGGCTGTGGTCAAGACGGGGACGTTCATCGCTTTAGGGCTTTGAACGGTTGCGACAATTGGACATTCAGTGTAAGACACATTGCTTATGTCTTCTCCGTCATCTTCCCCCCCTCACTTTTTTGGTCGAGAAGTATGCGAGTTTAATGTGGTGGACTTCCCCTCGCTTTGAGACGGGGCGGGCCGAATTGCTTTCCTGTTACTGTCTCCAGCATCGCGGCGGCGTCGTTGGGACTGGGTTTGTCCACCCACGCGTTTTGCGCCAGCAGTCGTGCCTCCATGTCGAGCATCACAAAGCGCAGTGAAGGCAGCATCCTCCTGGCTCTGACATCTTCCAGCTCCGGCGCAACCTGGATGCGGAACGGCGGGTACTTGGCAATCTGTTCGCACGCACGGGCACGCGGATCGTGAAGTTCTTGGGGAAATGTGGTCGTCCCACTCGAAGGACTGCGGACACTTGGGGACTACGTACACTGTCTCTTAACCAACTTTTTCTATACTGGGCCTGTATAACACTCGGAGTCGCCGATCTCCGTATCTCCGGCTCCCTGTGTCACTCTCAGCACTCATCGTCTATGGTCGTTGAACAGTAGCACGTGGAGTAGATTACATCTACAGCGTCCGTACTAATTGTACATGCACTAAGCCCAGTTGCGTATACCCTGGACACAAATGTTGTACTGCTGCATCCAATAGACGGCATCCGCGTCGGCGCGCGCCAACGCCTCGCATGTGCCGCCTTCGCATCAACCTCAAGCAGTAATACCACGCAAATGCATATGCAGAAGACGACACTATTTAACGGCATGTCTTTCAAAAAAGGGGGAATTTGTGGTACTCAACACTTTCAACAAGATCATAATGTCTGAGGGTACTTTAATACTTTAATTAAATAAATGGTTTTATCCTTATAAGAGACGTATACGATTACAAAGGATGTAAGTGACTCGCCACGGATTAGGTTTAAACCATCATGACCTGGCCAATTACGACGCGGTGCAACTGTCGGTTTCGTTGGAAAGCGCGGGAGTTTGCACCAAGGTCACTTCCCATTTGGCGCCGTACAGCGTAGACCAAAAGCTGGCAAGTGAGTACGAGAGCGCGACATCGACTGCTACATCCTCGCGAGCAGCAACGTCCGACTTTGGGTCGTTTCATCTACCTCTCCATCTCTCTTCGTCTCATTCGCAAATCCACATCGATGGCTCCTGCCGACGTTTTGGTGGCCTCGCCCGTTAACGGCATGGTGGGGCTTGAAATGTGCTCGGCCACGCCACCCGACAACTGCAAGTCGCCGCATACGCCACGCTTGTTGCAACGTGCCGGCATCCGCGCGCTCGAGCAGATCGTGGCAGAAGAGACGATCCCCGCGACGCCACAAGAAGCAGAGGCCGGATCGGAGACTATGGCAACGTCACCGACCGCTGCTAAGCGCAAACGGCAGTCGCTGTCGCCCACCACGTCCGGTAAGCTTCGCTGCGTGTTGGTTGCTATTCGAATGCAATGCTAACGTAATTAGCTGTGCTGATCACAGCAGGATCGTTAGACAGTGAAGGACCCGAGACCAGTCCGGATGAGCTGGAGGACTCGCAGCCGTCCCAGCCACTGCCTGAAGAGAGCGAGGTGAAGCCTTCCACACCGACAATCAAACGCTTCATATCGAAAAATAGAGAACGCAAGCGACGCAAAGTGGACGTGATTGAGAATGCTCTCAAGCGCTTCCATGAGGACGAGACCAAAGCCCCACGTTGCGCCGAGTTCACGACCATCTGCCACCCAAAGTACAGGTACAAGAATAGGATACGAGAGGCTGCCAAGATGCGCGTCCAGGTCGGAGTATCGCTTGCACAAGGCGCGCGTCCGTACATGGAAGATCGCTACTCGGTAGTAGAGCGTCTGCTGGAGGATGAGGAGGACGCCGACTGGTCGCCCAGCTTGTTGGCAGTATACGACGGCCACAACGGAGCGTATGCGTCCGAGTATGCGCGTCGTCGGTTTAGAGACATGCTAGGCGAGAGTGAAGACCTGATAGAGATCAGTCGTCGCGCACAGCACTCGGAATTGACCGAAGACGACGTGGAGAAAGTCCGCGAACTGTTGGTGGACGCGTTTGCGACTGTAGACGCCGAGATTCTGCAGCGCACCGTCATTTTGAACAAACGAGATGGCTCGACAGTGCTACTGGGGCTTTTAGTGGGCGGTAAGCTCTTTGTTGCGAACCTTGGCGACTCGCGAGCTGTTCTGGCCCAGGCAGACGACAGCAGTGACGAGGAAGAGGAGGAAGATGTGCCAAGTGCTGTGCGTCTCTCGGTGGATCACAAACCCGACCTCAAGGAGGAAACGGAATGTGTTCAAGACGCAGGAGGGAAGGTCATCTTCTCTGGATGCTGGCGCGTAGCACACGACCAGATTCCACTGCGCTTGGCCATCAGTCGATCGCTGGGGGATCATCCACTCAAGGTGAACCTGCCGGCATCTTGCTCAGCTCCTTTAGTGTCGGTGGTTCCGGACGTTCGTGTTCTCAATGTGGAAGCGGCTGGTGAGTATCTCGTGTTTGCCAGTGACGGCCTATGGGACCGCTTGAGCGACGATGATGCTGCCAAGATTGTGCGTGCCAAGGTGGCTGAGTTCCACTGGTCAGAGGAGCCTACGAGCTCGGAAGATGTGACTAAAGAGGCGCTGCAGTTCGCTGCGAATGCCCTCGTGGAGGCTGCACTTTTAAAGCGCAGCATGGACAACATCACAGCCATGATCATCTCGTTCTCCGAGTTGTCCGATGACGAGATTACGAACGCATAAGTGAAAAGCTGCAAGAATCTTCGCCTGTCGATGTCGACGTGTCGAGATATAATAGAGAACCTATGGATACCTTCATATTGTACGATGGTCGAGTTGTCAGACCCAATCCTCCTCTACCTGTAGCCTCGTTCCCCATAATCAGACTTGTAGAACTATAATAGTATAAACATTTATCAAACAACAGCATTTACCGTGCCTTTCAGCTCTTCCTCTTCAGTTGGCGAGCAGTCATTGACTGTGTGGTCTTCACGAATCGTACCAGCGTGATCGTCATCACCCGCTTCATCTTTACCTGCATCACCATGGGCAGGGGAGCTGAAGTCCAGTTCGTCCACAATTTCCTGAGGATCCGTCGCTGGGATGAGGAAGAGGAAGAAGATGGGAACCACCTTGAGCACGCTGCGAAGAATGATAGCGAGCCACAACATGTCGTACTCGTCCTTGGCGATGCCTAACCAAGTACACACGAGAGCTCCCCAAAATTCGCTCACACTGCGAGAAAAGTTGGAAATGGACATCAATAGTGCGAACAGCGTGCCTTCAATACCCTTAGGGCAGAGCTTGGCACAGAGAACCATCACTGGCATCGTCTTGAGGCGGCTGATGACGTCTGCAATCACTGCATCGCCCAGAACAAACGCCTTGTCCGGGATACCCACGTCCAGGTTATTACGCGTGACCAATACGACGTCCAGCAGCGACACAACAGCCAAACTGAGCTGAGCGATGAAGAAGATGCGACGGAATGACATGTCCTTGAAGCACGCGTTGTACAGCATGGTACCCACCATGAGGAAAATAAACCCAAAAGCCGATACTGTCCCCAAAAACTCGGGCGTAAACTGCAACACGTCCGTCGAGAAGTAAAAGAAGACTTGTGAGTACCCAGGACTGATAGCACCGGACAGGAACACCCAGAGCGCACACATCCAAATCACGGGTGTGCCAATTGCCCCCTTTAGTTGCCGCAACTGTCTCTTAGCTGAGGTTTTCCAGTGGCGCTTGCTCACTGTTGTCTTCGCTTCATGCATGAGTGTAGAGAAGATCAGAATCGTAAGCGGTCCAATCGCCGCAAAGCAGAACACGCCACGCACTCCCAGGTTGTGTGTCGCTGGACCGGATAGGAACGACCCAAGCACGCCACCCACCGCCATGGAGATCCATGAGACTGACTGCAGATCGTTCGCGCCACATTTGGGATC